GGAGAATGAGTCAGCGCCGAAAATCAAAGAAATTTCTAAAACTTATAGCAGACTTTGTCAAATGATATGCGTTTGATATCCGTAGAAGGGTACTTAATTCTCTACAAAATAATATGTTAAAGAGAACTCAAAAACAGCGCCTCAACTCAACAAAGGATCATTTTTCTAAAATCGATAGACTGTCATCTAGGGTAAACGGAGTTTGGAGGGATCTTCCCTGAATTTGGTAACTTATGTAGTTGTGGTGCTCTATCTTTTTTTTATATAAACACCAAAGGAGGTTTATGTGGAAGAAACTGTTCAAGCAATGAGTCGGACTTTTTGTCATTTTGATTAGCTGTGTTTGGGAATCCATTGGAAAATCCCCAAAAGAAAAGCTTTTGTGATCTCTCGAAAGCCATTTTGTAAAGGATTAGTGGACCATTTGATGAAACAAAACGTGTATTTAAAGAAGGTTTTATGGGTGCAAAAAGTTTCTTTAAATTTCGGCGCCGACTCACTCTGCCCAACCCAATAATTGTCTTTTTTCGGATACATCATTAATGACCGGATCAATCAGCACGAGCACAAATATGGATTTCATGGGGTTATGTTTTTTATGTGGTTGTGGTTTAGAGCGTGAGGTTTAGTTTTTTATTCGATATCAGCAACCCGATGGATGCCAAGGACTATGGTTTAGATCAAAAGTGTGTAAAGGTATGTTTGTTTAAAAATTATGAAAACAGATGCATCAAAAAAATAAGTAGCAGTTAGCAAAATTTAATTAAGAGAGCAGTAAACCTTTGTCAAAAAGTAGAACGCGTTGTGAGTATGTTCATCCGCGAATTTAAAACTCTTACAGACTGGTGCAAGCCATTTCATTATATAAATGGTTGTGGTTTTTGCTTAGTTCCGGTTGTGCTTTTTATAAAAATTCACATATTTTATCAGTAAACTTCTAAATTTTTGTTTTCTATCCTGATCACCTATTCTAGACTTTCCTTTTTAAAAAGGAAAGTTTTTTTTTCAGTTGAATGATAAAGTGTCAAATGTTTCTCGAGTGGGCAGATGTGTTCTCGAAAGGTTCAGAGAGATCAAATGGGCCTAGGAGTCAAGAAAACAAGAAGACCACCATTTGAGGGGTGCAATGAGAACAAAAAAACAAGCACAAGAAAAAGGAGAATAACGATCATTCAGCGACTCCAGAAAAACAAATCAATGAGCAGCTTTGGGAAGAAGAAGCAGAACAAGTTCTATGTTTTGAGTGAGATATTTAAAATGGTAAAAAAACCCATAAATATAGCATTCAAGGGAATCTTGTTTGTCTTTTAATTAGATCTTAAATCAAAGATCCCAAGCTTAAAATGTTTCCAGATTTATTGTAGATATTAATTCAAGATCTTTTGTTTGATTATATCTAGACTTAAAGTTAAGCTTTAGAGTGATTTCTAGGAAATTTGACAGAGTTTTTAGAGATTTTTATTTCAAAAGCGATATCTTGTTATTCGAAAAGTTAAAAGTTCTCAAGTAGAATCTCAAAAAACGTTTGAAATGATAAGTTAACGGAAAATTAAATTTTCATCAATATCGGTAAAGAGGTTAATTGGGAAATCGAACGAGACGGGCGATTAGGAGGAGAAAGTAGAAGAGTGCAACTAATGGGATCGAATCGGTTGCTTTCTCTTCGAAAAAGCTTCCCGACTCGTGTTTGTCGTCGTTTCTTTTGTGGCCCTCTCCTCGGACTTGTTTTCTGGTCGCTTTCGAAGTAAGAAAGCACAGAGAATACTAAAATGTTATTGTTTTCAGTTTAAAAAAAAATTTTTATTTTGTATACCTGCCTACGAGTTCAGCAAGAAATCCTTGAAACGGGAATGAATTCGAAGCAATGTATCCGAGATTCCCACCAAAGAGACCAGAAACAAGACTAGGAGCGAGAAAACGGAACAGGTTGAAGAACAAAATGATGATTGAGTGGATGAGCATCTGGAAAGAGAATACCGTAAATTCTCTCAATTGAAGTGCCAAAATAGGTAATGAAACCACTTTTCATCGGCAATTGTACCAAAAATGAGTATATGTGGGTTTTTGGGGACAGTCGTGCAAGAGCACAAAGTTCCATGGACATTAGTAAAAATTTTACTCATAAACGCTTCCTATCCTGGCATACCCCAGGTCGACATATACTCGCCGCCGTTTCAGTTGCCCAAGAAAAGCAGTTTAAACACCCACTTTGGGACCTCGCAGTATACTTTGAGAATCGCCCCAAGTGTTCCCATTGAGTGTCCCCCATTGCCAATGGCAATCGTGACTTTGAACGCGTGTTTCTCGTGATCAGCTTACCCGATTTTCTATTTTAGTTTCATTCAATAGAAAACCTCATTACGAGTCGAATGGTAGCAAGAATATGCAAAGCGGATGAACCGGTAAAGGAAAACCCCAACATACAAATGTGGTTTCTTTAAAAAAGTGCCCTCATTTGTATTTTGGGGTGTTTCCGCCAGTTCATCCGATTGCCATTCTGTGTGCCCTTCGACTCGTAATGACTTCTTTGATGGAGACTAAGCTAGAAAATCGGGTAGCCGTCTGAACCACGTTCAAGTCACGTTTACATTAACAATAAGCACTGGGGAGCACTTGGGGCGAGTTCCTCAATGGGAACACTTGGGACTAAAGTATACCCGCAGGACTATTAGAGAGTATACGGTAACCGTGGAAAGCTCAGTGTACTAACCTGTTTCATCAGCAAACTCTCCGCCCGACTCGCCTTTCCGTCTTTTCTCAGCTAAAATTGGACTTTCAGGTCTCGAGACATTGGCGAGACTAAGTAAACGTTAAATGTTTAGAAGACTTCGAAGTAAACCTAATCACGTTGAAAATAAACCTGTTTTAAGCCTTCTACTTGTTAGAAAAATCCAATCCCCACATCAAAAACTGGGGAAGAGGGTCAAATAGTTCCCTTATCTCCCATGTCTCCCGATAGTCAAATCTCCATAAATAGAGAATATCAAACTCTCCATAGATCGCCCAATTCTTTATACATCTCTCGGAAAGAATCAACCCGATTTTCAACAGATATGGAATCAATAATTGAATCAATGGCCATTTTCGAGTGTATCGAAAGTAGAGACCATCGAAGGAGGCAGCCATGAAACGACTGAAGAATGGATAATTGGTTCATAACTTTGACGAACCTAGGGATCTCCAACTAGACATACCATTTCCTTCAACAATAAGAACAATAAGAATCCTTGGCTAGCTAGGAGCATAATGTCCTTTGAAGGCTTGTTTTTAACCAGGTTACTAACTTTGTTTGAGTTCATTATGTTCCCTAAGGAGAATCAAGAATTTAAGTTGTTCTTCTAGCTCTTCCTTCCGTTATTTTATGGTCCATAAACTTTCCGAAAGTTTCAAAAAACACAAATTGTTCTTTCAACGTTTTTAAGAAATGCCAAGGCCTTTTATCCCTATTTCGGTGATCCGAAAAGCACAAAAAAAGCAAAAGAATCACAGAGGGGATTCAAAACCGCAGTGCAAAAAGCGAATAGTTTTGTATACAAGCATACTAGACATGGGCTTCGGGTCGGGTCGGATCGGGTCGACTCGAAACTCAATTTTTTCGGATCGAGTCCGGTCGGATCGACCCGCAACGACCCGATTGCCCATGTTTAAAGCATACTACCCACTATACCACCAAGTGCATTTTGTGTGAAGGGCGGAAAAGGTTTCCTAGCATTCCACTTACTTTAGTGAGATCATCAACTGACAATAAAGGGCAATGTCTAGAAGATTAAACGTCTTGTCCAGGTAGAAAACGCCGTCATTCATAAAAGCACACAGTTTTCGAGAGATTCTGGAACAATTTCGAGATATTTCCAAAACTAGAGATCCCACCGTTTATCATCAATCTTTACATGTTCACAAGCCCAGTTGCTAAAAGAGACGAGGCAATAGAGAATTTGTTCGCGTTCTCCAGGCAGGCGAGTAGCCTGAAAAAAGCATCAATCAATCGGGTAGATGGCCTATTAAAACTTGTTCATGAGTTCTTCCTACATTTTCCGTTTAAAACTCTGATAATCCCTGTTACAGAAATGTATTTTCTTCTTTTTCCATTCTACCAACTGTAGACTAAAAAAATCACCTTCGCACTCAAGTTAAACCTGATTTTCTTTGTTAAAGCTCCCTTCGCTTCAAAATTACCGAATTGACACCGTCAACCGGTCGTTTCTCGCCGATAGATAAGCGGCCAATGCTGTAGTAAAGAGACTCAAGAATTGTACCTGAAAAAGAGATACAGAAAATCTAAAACAACTTGTTGTACATGGTGCACGAAATTACGGAAACTGTGGTGGCGCTTTTTTCTTAATGGTTATAAGGGCAGTTTTCAAATTTTGGCAGTTCTTTCTGTTTTTCTTGTCGAATTAAGATTTTGGCAACATCTTATTTGCTTTTATTTTTGAAATTTCAGAATGGCGAGAAATTGGAGCACCAGTTCGATCATCGCTTTTACAAACGGGGAATGAGGCAGAAAAGCATCGCCAGTCAATTGATGTTAGCCAATTCCTGTTGTTTCAAAGACAATTCAACGCTACAAAGCCTTGGGAACGAATTCCGATCGACCAGGACGAGGTCCAAGGACGGCAGACAATAAAGGAGACGGTGAAGAAATTGCGCGAGCCTACGCTACAAAGGAACCCATTTCCAACGAAAATTAGCCTCAAGAATGGGTATCTCAAGACGTTCGATGGTATTTGATTTCAGTGTTTGGAGCCTCCTAGAGTCCAAGGCATGCTCTAAAGCTCATTCAACTATTGATTCTTTGAAAAATCTCTTCGAAAGGCTGGTGTGAACTCGATGCTCGCCTATCTTTTTGCCATCGTTGTTGCCTTTTTGCGCCAGTCTCTAAGCATATCGCAGCCAATGAAGATCTTTTAAAAGGACTACTTTCCTAGTTTTTGTGATATAAAAATAAATTTATTACCTAGAATCATTGTTAACAACAAACAGTGGCTATTAAACCAAAATATTGGTTTCCGTAATTGCACATCACCATGGCTATTTTAAATTTGCTAACAAAAACTATACCGCTGTTCAATATCGTACAAAGTGAGTCTCAACTTGTTGCTCGTCTTGTAATTATTATCCAACCAATCGTTTCCCACCTGGCCCAACCATTCTTGCATTTGACCAGGTGCAATGACAGCCAAGTAATAGTACAGAAACCTAAAACACAGCCAGCTGGGATGGCTATTCTTATTGCCGTGGAAATGGGGTAATTTGCCTTTCTCAGCCGGGCACAGAAAAGTTTCAGGGGAGAACCAGCAGACCTTATCGGGCTTGGGAACAGAGCTTCCAATTTGGGAAATTCCATAGAAAAATTCTACCCACAGATCCAGAAAACTGCTTAAACCTACTAAAACTAGCAGCAAAATAAGCTGTCAGCTACGAAATCTTGTATCCTCCAGCTTTACACCTTCGTATCTATTATATTTCAGCTAGTTTATATGAAAAGGAGCTGAGGGCGAGGATCACTTTCTTCAAGCAGTTTTTCGTCAGGTTTTGGCTTCTCCTTTAGTTGCTTTCTTGGATTTAAAGAAATATCGAGTCATAATGTGTATCGATCCTAAAGATGACTTCAACTATGTAAATGGACCGCCTTCTTCAAACTTCTCAACATTTAATGTCTCAAAATGTTCTCAGAATTTTGACATCATGACAGTACCCGGTTTGGTCAGGTTCCAGGAATTTCAAATCCGGTCCATTAAGATACCGTCGATCTCGATTTAACGATTCTCAGAGAGACCGATGTTTGGAATCGTTAAATCGAAACAAATCTGGACGTTTAACAAGCTGATCGTTATATCGAATCGTTTTGACAAATTATTTAGCAACATTTATCAGCAAAATCTTTCTTTAAAGAAAGCAAACTTTAAAGTTGCAAGCTTTGAAGACAATAAAGATATTCAGTGAAAGCAAAGAATATCTGGTGCAATTTTGAGCTGAAACTCGATAAATCGAATGTAAATTTCTAAATAAAGGGCGAATTTTCTATCGTTAAATCGGAGTCGTTAAAGTCGAACTTCCTAAGCTATTTTATGAGGGCTAGGCCGGGACCGAGCATATGGCAGCGTTAAATCGAACAAATCGTTAACTCCAGGGGTCGACTATAAATTGTCGTCAAGCTCACTCGACCGAAATCGCCTCTTCTAAGAAAACAAGAACCATTCAAACCGAATAAAACAGTCGTCACAATCAACGCTGCCACAATTCCTTGCTTATTCGCTTCCATATTTTCATAAACATAAGGAATACTGTAGCTTTGATTTTCAGATAACTCGAGTTTATGACCGAATCATCCGGGACCGGTTAGCGCGATCTCTTCTCCAGCTTCTCAGGGTACAAGTATTTTACTCAAAAAAGGCTCATCTAGTCATTAATTCCCATTGTTGGTCGTCAAAAGCGTAAAATTGTGGGGCTAAAGTTGAACAACCAGCCCGACAATTGTATCTTCTCTTTCTTAAAAAGTGATTTTTGAGATCCAGCACTGTTTTCGATATTTTTAGAGGTTGCTTTTGGAAATGAAAATAAGATTGTTCAGACTTTTTAGTGTGATTTCAGTGAAGAGAAAGTCAGACGTGAACTGGAACTATTTCTGTAGAAGGTGTTTTAAAGTGGACTCCTGGATTTCTGACTCTGAAATCCCCAAATCTACAGTATTTCATTTGTTTATACATATACACACAAACTCTTCGTTTGTGCAATCAGGAATGGACTGTGATGGCCCACACATTGACATTCTCAGTTTTGAATCTCTTTTCTAGGAAAAGAAAATTTCAACTTTACCCAAATGTTCAGGAAATGACTGCCTCCTCAGACCTCACAGTCCCAGGAGTCGGTCATACCTGAACAGATCTTAACATCTTAAGATACTATTCGGATGTATTCTTAGAAGGCATTCTTCAAATACCGGTAAAAGTTTCGGAATTTGGGAGTTGGAAGATTCCCGATTCTAGATTCTAGATTCTAATTTCCAGATTCTAGTTTCCAGATTCTAGTTTCCAGATTCTAGATTCTAAGTTCAAGTTGTTGCAAGTCACCGATATGAGTGACTTGGATTTGCAAATTATCGAGACTGAAGCTGAAAACTTGATCGAAGCGTCCAATCAACGAGCGTCAGATTTTCGGACGGTTTGGATGAAACCGAAACCCAATAAAGGGCTTGTTCAGTCCAAAGATATTTTAGTATTTCAGTATACTTTCTATGGAAATAGCCTCAAATCACAAAGTAGATCATGTTCTTTTACTACAGAAACTTTTAAAACGGGGAAATGATGTAGGAAATTTGAACACTTTCCACTTAAAAGTACAAATTGTTGCAAGTCACGTCAATAGAAAAACGAGAATTTTTAGAAGTTTCGGTTATTTTTGATTGCGATGAGCGATGATGCTCTCAACTCCACTCTTTACTATGAGATTCAAAAAGTCAGCGAATTGCAGAATTTGGTGGAGATTTGTGTGTTGGCAATGGCTGGTTGAATGAATTCTCTAATTGAATATTTTGCAGCTGGGCACAGTTGGCTTATATTTTGGCTTTATGGGAATCTATATTTGTTGAGACGAATCCTTACTTGAAAGGTTGGACAATAACTGAAATATTTTTCATGTTTCTAGGTCTTGTAAAGCATAATGATTGATCTCGTTAATTCGATCACGAATTCTGCTTGGGCATTCGATTTGGGGAGTCCCTGCGCGATTTGGTATGTTAATGCGGTAAAATAGTCCAATGGGAAGGGGTTGTTCAAATTTTCCAGCTCCAGGTCAACTTTGATCCAAGCCTGTTCAGGTTCAGACCAGGGCCCGAGTCCAGAATTCACTAGATCTAACAAAATTTACTAGTTTCACCCCAAAATTCGCAATCTTGGGCCAATAACTTCTTTAAAATTAAAAATTTTCGCTAGCTGTTTGTTTTTTCGAAACTAAATGCAATTCTGTGTTTGCAATTATCAAAAACATTGTGACTGAATAATAGATCGGCCAGAAAAACTGGGTGATCAATGTTTAGGATTATTTTGATTACTGGTCTGTCATCCAGTAAAAATCATTTCAAGAACTCTAGACCTGGGCCCTGGTCCTGCTCCACTAAAAGCCCTTGGACTTGCCGTAGGCTTGGCCGCCCTAACCTTAACCTCAACGAGTCGTTCAGGGATCTCAACGAATCTTTCCCCTTCATCGACTATCTCATCAGCGATCTCGTCTTCACCGCGATTGCCCTAGGATACTTTCCAAAGGTAGCTTTAATATTTTCTTGGATCTGACCTTGATTTAAGTTAGCTAAACTAGACCTAAACTTTCTCAGCATCAGACCAGAAGGGAGATACATTTAAAAAGTGGTCTAAAACGTAAATTGCTCAAATTCGGCAAAATTTCAGCTTTTCCTCGGAATGAACCGCTTTTTCGCAATCGCTTTTGATGGTCGATTCTTCAAAAGATTCGAACAACTGAAACTTCTACAGTATTTTCTCATGATCGTTTATCCATTTGTTTGCTTGTTTTGCTATTGCTTCGTAAGTTTTCTTTTAAAGGGAAGCTTTAAGTTTTCTTAGCCGGTTGTTATGCTGTTTACATTCCTTATGGACAGAATTTGTTCTACAGTGGGAGCGAGTGCGGGAGATTCGATGATCAACTACACTGGGGTCATTTTTTTGAAACTCTAGCGTTAGTCAAGGGGACAGAAATCGGAAAGCATTTAAAGTCGATTTCCACCTTGAGTGTCTCGACTTAGTACCTTACTATTAGTTTAGAGGGCTGTAAAATTTGTAACAAAAATACAGCAAAAATTCAGCCACTAACAAAAGAAAGGCGCGGAGTCAAGCTGGCCTTTTGACTCGAGACCAAATCCATCTTATAAAGTCGGCCATGTGGATCTCAAATCCGTTTTTAGTTTTCCGCAAACGCGAGATATTTGGCATGGAGAATCATCATGACTTTGGAGCTCCTTACGAGACCGTCACACGGTTGCCTCACAAATGATTCGGTGGCCTAGTGGATGAGCTGCTAGACTAAAAAACTAAAACGAATTCGGGATCTTCATGGCCAAATCACTAGGATGAACTTGGTACCGAGTCAGGGGCCAGCAACTCAGTGCCTTTCCCTTTAAGCCAAAAATTGATCCCAAGAAAAGACGGGAATTGATCTTTTGGCAAAGCCTGGGAGAGCGGAGGATGGCTCGGCCACTGACCGCTCCTTCCCATTACGGATCTCAAAGGGAAGCTCCTTATACCAACTGGTATACCCGATGGAGAGTGATTACGAGCGCGCACGAAACACATCGCCAGTCGTTTACATAGGGATCTCTCTTTGCTTTGTAGATGGCATAAAAAGAAGATACTGAGCTGTAAATTTAGGTTGATGCAAAAGTCTTTTTCATTTTTTTCGTACTTCTTTTGAAAAATAACAAAGTCATCAATTAACCTATGGTTTGCTCTAAATGAAAAGTGTTTATTGTTCAATTTCCCATCTTTTTAAGTCAATTTGGGTTCACTTTCAAGCAAATTCGAGAGTGAAAACGGGTTTTTCATAAAAATCTATAAAAACCTCTATAAAGAAATTGGCTGAATCAATTTCTCTGAAAATCTGAAAAATTATCTAACTTTTTGTGCTCTATCTTTTATTTATTAACATCAAGATTGGTTTCCTTAGCTAAAGCGTCTAAAATGCATCATCGAGCCGTCGCCTTTTTTGACTACCCGACTTCAGGCTCTCAAAAAATCTAGACATAAGACATTTTAAACTCGTTTTAATGTCATTTTGCAGAAAAATAATTGGCCTTTCGAATGCAATAAACCGTTGTTCAATTGGTGCATTTGTTACTTTTTAACGGAAGTACGAAAAAAATGAAAAAGACTTTTGCATCAACCTAATAGAAAAATTATATTTTAGAATGTTGAAGGTGTCTTCTTCACGCCCGTCAGCAGTTTCTTTGATCTGTTGGTGTTGATTCTCTTGCATCGACGTTTCCGGGCTTTTCACAAAGAACAACATCAGCAGAGCTCGCAAAGGCTCGCGATTTACGGAGAGAATATAGACTAGCGGCACAGGTGTCTTTGTGTTTTCCACTTAGCTAAAACGTTTCTAAAGCGTGGTAACTCTCAAAAGTACGGTAAAGTCGTCTTTAGTTTTTAGAATCTGTTTGCTTTTGACTTGATTTGTGAGGATTTAGCGAAAGATATAAAAGTAGACAAATTCGATAGTCGAGTTCGATAGATTTTTAAGATCAACTTAACAGCATTACCAAATTGCTTATTGAATTAGTCAACAGCATAATTAAATTACTTATTAAAATAATTACATAACTATTGTAGATGGCCACAAATCTATTCAACGGAATTACCTTGTCAATAACTTCTGTCACTTTCAAGACCACGTTCACCACACCTTTATCGGTTTTCATCATTGTCACTGCACTCTGGCTACTTACTTGTTTATTATCGTGGTAAGCTATTTTGAAGAAAACAAACATTTGCTTAAAAATTGGATCTTAGAAAATCAAAAAATCTAACTGTCTATCAAAATCCGAAAAGAAAATTTATTTTTAGTATGGCTTATGCTTTGTTTCTCAGCGAAAAACAGGCAAAAGTGGAAACAAGAAAAGTCTCGACGCTTTCTTTGGGAATCAGTAAAACTTGAAATGTTATTAATGACAATAAAGCTTATGATAACACTGGTAAAAGAAAATGAGCATATAAAAATGTCTCAAGTTAGGTAATTATTAGCTTCAAATTATTAGCATTTTTATGCAAAAGTTCAAAAGTAAGAAATTGACTTTGGTCGGAGTCGAACTCAGGCAAAGAACTGGAGCAGTCTCGTATGCCTCCTCCTATCCACTACACCCATTCGACCATGATTTGAGAGACGGAGAGAGCCTTTCTTCTCTCCGCACCAAATTTAACAAATTTTCCTGGTTTTTCTAATTATGAATCAAAATTTATATTGAAAATTACAAACATTATCAGATCTGAAGCTTTGCAGCGGAACTTTTCAAAACACTCTGTTCTGAACCGCTTCTAACAGCTGACAAAATTTGGGCCCGATCCGAGGTGGTAAAGTAGTTATGGTTCGCTCGTATAGCTCTAAAACCAGTCCAGTTCATCGACTTTTTAGTGTTTTTAGTGTTAGTTAATAATTTTAGTTTACATATTATAACTATAATATGACACCACGATAGCAGTAAAGAGTCTCCATTTTTGTGGTAAAATTTTCCCCTATTGATCGTCTCATGGTGGTGACCAT